AACAGTTATGATATCTCCCCTTCTGCCCTGGCCTATTCAAACTTCCTATATCCTCCTATCACGCCGTCACCGTCACCATTTTTAATTGCTTAATTAAATGTGGTACGGTGTGCCCATTTTTTGGCGGCTTTCATAAGAACGCTCAGCAGTCCTTGCTGGCCTTCTCACCCCCTTTCATCCTTCTTCCATCGGTCTTACCACAGTCTCTCTTTTGCCCCGTAAGATCTGTCTGCCCTCTCTCTGGTTCACATATTTCACTCTACCCCTGCCACCCCAGGCGTTATTGGCCCTACCATGCGTCTGGGTGACTAATTCGAGGCTCAAGCCTTTGAGTAAGTGTCATGGTCAGGCCTTTGCCATATGGGCCACGTCTCTTATACAAACCACTGTCATCCCACTAGCTCCCATAGCCTCCGCGTCTATCCTGTTTGTATATCTAATACCAAGTATATGACTTCTCATATTCTAGCCTTTTGTGCGCCAACCCACAAATGTCGTGGTACTGCTTGCTTTGGTTAGGTTCAACGTTGAACCACAACGTTTGTGGGTTGGCACACATGAGACTAGGGTATAAGAAGTCATATACTTGTTATTAGAGATAGCAACAGGATAGACGCGGCGGCGATGGGAGCTAGTGGGCTGAGACGTGGTCAATGTGGCAAAGGCCTGACCATGACACTTACTCAGAGGCTTGAGCCTCAAATGAGTCACCCAGATGCAGGGTAAGGCAAATAACGCCTCGGGTGGCACAGATGGGGTGGCAGGGGTCCAATAAAATATGTGATCCAGGGAGAGGGCAGACGGATCTTACGGGGCAGGCGAGACTGTGGTAAGACCTAAGGACGGCGTAACAATATGGCAGACTCTGATCGACAGTCCCAGCACAAGGATGAAGACGGGTGAGAAGGCCAGCAAAGACTGCGGAGCGTTCTAATGAATGCCACCAAAAATAAGGGCACACTGTACCACATTTAATTAAGCAAAAAATTGCGACGGTGAAGGCGTGATAGGAGGATATAGAATATGTGAATAGGCCAGGGCAGAATGGCAGATACCATAACTGTTTAGCACACGTTTGGTCAAAGGATCGGCTTCACTCTTTGACGAGTTGTACTATTGTGCTGCGATTGGTAAAACTCACTGACGATGCCGACTGCGATGCCAGCGAAACGTCTGGGGATGCACCACGTCCACGGTCCGACTGGAAATAATTATGCATACAATGGACTCAGGACAAGGACGTTCCTCTAAGTCTTCCTAACAATATGAACAAGTTGCGAAAACAAAGTCAAACAACTTCTATACAACGAAAGGAGACTGCGACCACACAAAAGGCCACA